CTCTCTCTCTCTCTCTCTCTCTCTCTCTCTCTCTCTCTCTCTCTCTCTCCCTCTCTCTCTCCTGTCACACGCAACTGCAGCTGATATCTGATCTACCGCTAGTGTAGGCAACGCACACACACCACCGGTCGGAGTATGTCGGTAAATGGAGACGAATTTATGTGAAGTCGCCGCAGCCGTTGCTGCCGGACAAGTTTCGCACGCATCGACTGGACATGGGAGCCTCTCGAACTTAAACCAGCCATCTATCCACCTGCGCAACTCTAAAAGGAAACTAAAATGAAAGGAAAGGGGATAGACCGACCACAAAGAAGAAGAATACAACCGCGCGCGCAGCCCACTCATATTCGCTAGCATCGCGCCCACACCGCAGCTTCTTCCTGAGCATCCGTCTCATGTCGTAGCGCGCGCCTCTGTGTGTGTGTGTGCGTGCGTGTGTCTGTTGTCGAGGAGAGAGGCCACTATGTCCTATAACATGTTCTAGTGACGGCGTACACTCCCCCTAACCCTCTCTCTCACTTCCAATGTCCTGCCATATTTTTTGTCTCTCCCAAATCTGCCGATGAGTGACATCGGATCCTGTCCGCGCCAAGGCAGCAGTCTCAGTCTCCATCCAGTCAAAGAAAGGATGAGGGGAATCGCGCCAGGATTCTGTGTCGTGTGTCCGAGTGTCCGAGATTCGGGCGGCTTTAGTTGGTCCGCCGCCGCTTTGGCGCCGCGAGGAGTCTGTCTCTCAGTCTGTCTCCGTCCGAAGTTCTCTCTCTCATACACACCTCGACCACCTCGACATAGCCACAACAATAGGGCGCCCTCTACATTTGCATGTGGCACCACATATGCCACTCATCTCATCGATTGGGCCGCGGGAACCTGCGTTGGGTAACCCGGTCCACGTGCGAGCAGGTGGCGTCGCGTGGCGTTGTTCGGAAGAAGAAAGTCCTCCGTGACCGAGGGCCATCAGGAGTAGACTTCGGTTCAATTACCTTCCCGCAGCGGGCGGCGCGAGTCCATACAGCGGCCGGCCTAAAGCACACACATTATTGAGTTGAACGGCGCGTCGTGGTGGCTCAATCTGGACACTATACTCTGCTCCGGGGCGGCAGCAGGCAGGCCGTTCAGTTGGCAGGGCTGCACCACAGCTCGCGCGCCGCTATTGCACCGCCGGCGACCGAGTGACCGTCGTCGTCGCGTATCCCGCCTCTGAAAAACATTCCCCCGCCCGCAACCGCAACCTACACTCGTTCGCGTTTGAAAGCGCCATGTCACCCGGCGTCGTCGTGTACAGCTGCCTCCGCCGCCGCCCACGCCCGAGTGCGCTGCAAATAGGCGCGCCGTCTATTTGCAGTCGTGTTATTAATAACCTGCATACGGCCCGTACGTGCGCGCGGCGACACTGCAGCTTGCGCAGCCAGCGCAAGCCAGCGCACCCGACTGACTATCCGCACGACACGACGCGGCAGCGATCGTGACCGAAAAGGATTGATGGTTCGCTTCGCGGGCTTGCATGATCATCATTCGCACTCGGAGCTGCTGAGCTGGAGGAGGAGACAAGGCTGCCCGCGCTGCTTGCATCCAGCCGGAAATGAACGACCTGAACGCTAACCTGCGTCACCGTCAGAAGGGGTGGCCAAAGGGTGTTGTAGCCACAAAAAAAAAGAAGAAAAATCTCACAAACACACCTCTTTGTGTAGAGCAGGCTGTATCTACGCCTGAAATGCACAAATATCGCGTTCTTCTGGTGTAACTAACTAAACTTTTTCCTAATACTATCTTTATAGTACTAGTAAACCGTTCAGTAATACTAGGAAAAACTAAAAAGACTACAAAATTTCTTGATAATATAAAACTGCACGCAAAACTCGGGTTGTTCCTAGGCAAATTTTCTTGTGGGGAGTTCAGAGTGTATACTTGGCCGTCCGGTCCGGCCATTATTCGCACGACCGGCTGCCGCGGTAGTAATAATAAGCCGGATTGTGATTCGCATAGTCGGATGTGGACGCGAGAAATATGAAGACACGCACCTTCGCAAACGAACGTGAATGGCGCTGCGCGGCGCTGTGCGGAGGCTGCTGCGGGACGGAGAGGGTGCTGCAGGGGCCACCTGGCGGAGCGCACACGACGAGAACACCGACAGAAATCGATACAAACCACTCTGCGGTGTCGCGTGCGTCCAGTCCGAGATTGGCATCGTTTACCACGGCCGTGGACGGAAAAACATTTTTCCCCCAAATGGGTGCTGTGTGTGCTGGCCAAAACGAGACTTATTCGTAGGCCCGCGATATCTGACGGGAAAACCGTCCCGAAAGTGGTGACGTAAAGCGTAAGCAGCAGAGCACATCGGTATCGTGGACGTAACATCGATATATCGACTAGGGCGGGCCCATCCCATAGGGACCCCATAGGGACCAGGCACGGCCCGTCCCAAGGCAAGCGGCCGGCGGAAACTCATCTCGAAATAAACGCACTGCTTTCTCTGCCGCATTGTGTGTGAGGGAGGCGCAATTAGGTCGATTATCTCGATCGGCCGAGCTCGATATTCCCGACACGCCCTGTAATGCGCACGCGCCCATGCACCGATTCAATAAACTTC